CGGCATCACAGTATGTGAGGGGCGTAACATTTCCGTCTCACGCTTGAGGTATTCGGCCAATCACAACGCATTGGATAGCTGGCCAATCACAGCACCCCTCGCTTTTTCAGACCGATGAGCTTTGTAAAAATCGACACGTTTCAGAAAGGCGGGGCATAGAGGAGAAACAATAATGTACAGTATGTGGAAAATAATGTGGTTTTTTTTACCTTAAACCGCATAAACACATTTCATTACACCAAATACACAAAATAATGTTCTTTTTAGCAGCATCATATGACCCCTTTAATGAAAATTGGAGGTGCTCAAAAAAAGAGAAAATGTTATGTTTTAAATCAGTTAATATAATTTAATTATGATGAATCCATTAGGTTGTCGTGCCAATGTGATGTGGCAGGACCAGTCAGAGCCCAGTATGAATCTGAATTCCTTCCGGAATTACGGCTCTCAGGCAACCCTCACAGCTGAGAACACACTGCAGATGATCCGAAACTCAGAACTGGGTCAAGAAATCAAGTATATAATAAATAAGATGATGACCTGATAAACCAGCTATAAAACAAATCATAAAACTTTTAAAAACACAAACATCCATCTCCGTTTCTCCTCAGTGACAGGATCTCCAAAAGCACAGATGCCATCAACAAATACACCTTGGCCATTCAAAGTCAAGTAACTCCTCTGACTCGAGAGGCGGATCAGTTGAAACTGCATTTGGAACAGGAAATGACATCTATGCAGTCCCAGCTCAAGCCTTATGTTGAGGAGATCAGAGGTGACATTGAGGAGCAGGTTGAGCAGCTGAAGAAGGATGTGGCCCCGTACGCAGAGACCCTGAACTCTGAAGCCCTGAGATCTACTCTGGTCCAGGGGGCCGAGGAGCTGAAGGCCAAACTGGAGAGAAGTTTGATGGAGATGGGTCCTCAAACCGAGGAGCTGAAGCAGAAACTGGACCAGCACTTTTTAGACTTTCAGATGAACATGTCTCCATTAGCCCAAAGCTTTCGGAGTCAGCTGGCCCAGAGAAGTCAAGAGCTTCAGAAGAATCTGGCTCTCTATTCAGAGGAGCTGAGCAAACTGGATCCATACGCCCAGGACCTGAAGGCCCAGTTAACAGCTCTCTGGGAGTCCTTTGCCAAGAACAAGCAGTCTTGAAAGACTGTAGAGACTTTTTGGAAATGCAAAAGGATGCTTCTGTTACCACTGGGGGTTTCACCTAGTATATTTCTTTGTTGCTCATGTATGTTTTTCAAGAAATTGCTAAATAAAATAGCACAAACACTACATTTGATATCCACAATTTTTGTCAAATTTTTAATGCAGTGGTCCATATGTAAGATTTTAATTGCTGAAAAGAACTTACAGGGTTTCAACTAATACTTTGTTGCTTAAGAATGTATTTCAAAAAATGCTAAATATATCGCAAACACTGTTTAATATCTACAATTATTGTTTTTATTGAGGATAAAAAAAGTTTAACATCTCTAATTTCTAATGCTGTGGTCATACGCAAGATTTTAATTGCAGCTATGTGTGTGAGGCTTCTGAACGTTTATTTAATTCTGGCACCCCTAGTATTACTTAAAGCTGGAATATACTTCACGACTCTTAAAATTGGAACAGAGGTGTAAAAACATTAGGCATCAACTTGGCATCATACACAACAAATTCACACAGAAACTTGCACCTTTTTGCTAAAAGACACATGACAAATGAAAACAAATAAGTCTGTTGCCATCATACAGTATGCTAGTTTCTGTGAACTCTGTCAGCTCCGACTGCCCAAAATCTGCAGACTGGCTCTGATTTTCCTCAACTAGCATCTACTTGTCCAGACTGCAAATAGGGGCAAAAATCTGTATAAAAGTCATGCATCTATTCCAGTCTTCAGAGCCACAAATGTAGTGAACTTGGATAAGTACTTGCTAAAGTCAATTTCCCTTTATGTACTTTGAAAAATGTATCAAGCTGTCTGTATACAACAAATGTAAATGGCTTTATCTTTATTTGTTAGTCAGATAAAAGAATTCAAACAAGGGTTCGAATCCTGTTCATTCTGACAATAAAACACTGCAACACCCTGTCACCAGGCACCCACCCGTTTTACTTCAGACTTTAAATTTAAGAGCATGTAGCCTTTGAATCCTGTGAGGGATTTCTTTTTACTCACTTATTTGTACTATTTCAATTAAGATAAATAGCTTGGATAAAAGTGTGTCGGTGTGCAACATACAGGGCTTGACATATCAGTTGTTGATTGTCTGTGACAAAAAAAAAAAAAAGAAAAAACCCTGACCGACTGAAACATTTAAAGAGCAAATACAGTTGTGAAAACATATAATGTATCACTTGTTTTTCCATTATTGTTTTTTTCAATTATATGTTACATAATTGAAAATAATAAACATAATATCTTAGGTAATAATAATAATAATAATAATAAAATGCGATAAAATTATTTGCAGGGACTGATGCATTGTCATTTACACAACTGATATATATATATATATATATACAGTGGTGTGAAAAAGTGTTGGCCCCCTTCCTGATCTCTTATTGTTTTGCATGTTTGTCACACTTTAATGTTTCAGATCATTAAATAAATTGAAATATTAGTAAAAGATAACACAAGTGAACACAACATGCAGTTTTTAAATGAAGGTTTTTATTATTAAGGGAAAACAAAATCCAAAACTACATGGCCCTGTGTGAAAAAGTGTTTGCCCCCTAAACCTAATAACTGGTTGGGCCACCCTTAGCAGCAACAACTGCAATCAAGCATTTGCGATAACTTGCAATGAGTCTGTTACAGCGATGTGGAGGAATTTTGGTCCACTCATCTATGCAGAATTGTTGTAAATCAGCCACATTGGAGGGTTTTCGAGCATGAACCACCTTTTTAAGGTCATGCCACAGCATCTCAATAGGATTCAGGTCAGGACTTTGACCAGGCCACTCCAAAGTCTTCATTTTGCTTTTCTTCAGCCATTCAGAGGTGGACTTGCTGGTGTGTTTTGGATCATTGTCCTGCTGCAGAACCCAAGTTCGCTTCAGCTTGAGGTCACGAACAGATGGCCGGACATTCTCCTTCAGGACTTTTTGGTAAACAGCAGAATTCATGGTTCCATTTATCACAGCAAGTCTTCCAGGTCCTGAAGCAGCAAAACAGCCCCAGACCATCACACTACCACCACCATATTTTACTGTTGGTATGATGTTCTTTTTCTGAAATGCAGTGTTACTTTTACGCCAGACGTAATGGGACACACACCTTCCAAAAAGTTCAACTTTTGTCTCGTCAGTCCACAGAGTATTTTCCCAAAAGTCTTGGGGATCATCAAGATGTTTTCTGGCAAAACTGAGACGAGCCTTTATGTTCTTTTTGCTCAGCAGCGGTTTTCGTCTTGGAACTCTGCCATGCAGACCATTTTTGCCCAGTCTCTTTCTTATGGTGGAGTCATGAACACTGACCTTAACTGAGGCAAGTGAGGCCTGCAGTTCTTTGGATGTTGTTGTGGGGTCTTTTGTGACCTCTTGGATGAGTCGTCGCTGTGCTCTTGGGGTAATTTTGGTCGGCCGGCCACTCCTGGGAAGGTTCTCCACTGTTCCATGTTTTTGCCATTTGTGAATAATGGCTCTCACTGTGGTTCGCTGGAGTCCCAAAGCTTTAGAAATGGCTTTATAACCTTTTCCAGACTGATAGATCTCAATTACTAGGCCTATTAAACAGACACCTTTTTTTTCTTTTTTTTTACAAAACAACCTATTTAATCTATTTATTATGTGTGGTACAGCATGAGCCAAAACGGGTTTATCATTGTCCTCTTGCACAAAGCCTTCATGCAAAAAATTATTCTCTCTTATGTGAGATGATAGCAGTTTGCTGACATGATATCTTATCCTGTTTTAGTTTAGAACACAATGACATTTTCCTGTAATTGATTGGTATCTGTAAAACAGAAAATAAAATCATCTATAAAAAGAAGCCAACAATATATGAACATAAGAAAACATGGATACATAAGTCAAAAGTGTTCTTAATTAACTAAGCATAAAGTTACAGCTCCATTCTAAGCATTACAGTGCTCCTTCCAAATGGGGTGAATGTGAAGTACAGTGATAAAATGGTAACTAGAATAGAGATAAATGATAAGCTTTGATCCTTGAATCATGCAAGCCCAGATGCTTTTTAGTAGCAGATGTCTTGTTGCATAATAATGAATTATTAATTATTTATTAAGCAACAAATGTTTTGTTGTATAATAATCCATGTCAATTGAAAAAGGTGCAGCACTCACTCTTGAAGGGGTGAAAACTTTATTGATTAAAATGACGTTTCGGCCGTTATCAAGGCCTTTATCAGATAACAAATAAAGTTAAATAAAAAATTAATCAATAAAGTTTTCACCCATTCAAGAGTGAGTGCTGCACCTTTTTCAATTGATATGGCTTTTTTGGTTGCACCTCCTCTCAGTAATAATTGTTGCATAATAATAAAATATGAACATTTTTGACATTAACATCACTGTCTCACTTTTTATGACTTGGTCCATCTCTCTTCTGCCTTTTGATTATTTTGGTATTACCATAATTCAATTGTGTTCAATAAAATAACATGTCTTGATATCCAAATACGACATTGGGTCTGTGCTTTCACTTAGATACCTCTGACTAGAACACCTAAACCAATGAGCCACATTCATTTTCAACAAACCAGTTTTTAAATTATAGCACATCTTGTCCTTTTGGAACCTTAATTACGCAACGTGGAATGAAAGACTGCGATAATCAACAATCTGAAGAGAAGAACTTTGGACACAGGCTGCCAATTCACCTGTTCATAGTCACATTATGGCTATCAACATGACTGTGATCCAAGGCATATAAATACCAGCTGCTTCCAAACTCTCATTACAGAACACATTGGAAAATCTGTCTGGTGTACTGTCCAAAAACAATCATGAAGTTTGTGGCTGTAATCCTTGCTCTTGCTATCATTTCAGGTAAGAGATCATCAACAATGCAAATCTTCACAAATTCAAAAGAGTTTGCAGCAGAGGCTGAAAGTCTGATACGTATTAGAACTTGGATTACTTCAACAGATCGTTTGAAAGGATTATGTGATGGTTTTCATTGTGACCCTGACAGTACAGATGATGTGTCTACCACAATGCTCTACATTACCAAATATTTGACCTGTTAAAGAATATTTGTGCTCCATTCTGACTTGCAGGCTGTCAGGGGAGCATCCTGTTTCAGGATGACCCAAAAAGCCGCTGGGAAAAGGCAGTGGATCAGTTCTGGAACCATGTGTCCGAGCTGACCTCAAAGGCTGAGGAGATGAGGGATAACGTCAAAGCCACCCAGCTCGGCAGAGAATTAGAGTGAGTAAATGCTATAAAACATTGCAGCAAAGCAAGTATTTGAGAAACGGAATCTGTAAAGATGCAGAAAAGGCTAGACTGATCGAAAATTGAAGTCCAGAATCAAGAAAGCTGATTTATGATATCGAAATTCATTTCTTTGCAGCACACTGATCAGTGACACCATGATGGAGCTGCAAATGTACAAAGATGACTTGCACTCCAAACTGGGCCCTTATGCGCAGGAGACTGCCAAGAGATTCAATGAAGATCTGCAGCTGCTGGCCAGTAAGCTCCGCACACACATGGAGGATGCTAGGGATCGTGTCAATGAATACACAGAGGAGCTCCGAACCATTGTGGAACAGAACGCTGACGAGGTCAAGAACAGGGTCAACACCTATGCCAAAAAACTAAGGAAACGTTTTAACAAGGACATCCAAGAGATCAACAAGTGAGTGACCTCTTGCATATCTTTATAAAAGGTATAATACTGTTCAAAAGTTTGGGGTCAGATTTAAAAGAAAGGGGGAAAAAATTACATGCATTAAACTGATCAAAAGTGACAGTAAAGACATTTAAAAGTCACAAAAGATTTCTATTTCAAATAAATGCTGTTCTCTTGAACTTTCAAACATTAATAAGAAGAAATGTTTCTTGAGCAACAAATTATAATGATTTCTGAAGGATCTTGTGACAAAAAAAAAAAAAAGAATAATGATGAATTTGCCTTAAGATGCATTAAAACAGTTATTTTAAATTGTATTATTATTTTACAATGTTACTAATTTATTGTATGTTTGATCAAGTAAATGCAGCCTTGGTGAGCATAGGAGAATTCTTTCAAAAACATTAAAAAATATTACCAACCCCAAACTTTTGAATGGCAGTGTAGATAGAAAACTTAATAACTTATTGCTTTTCTATATATCAGTGTTGACAATGCCTTATTGACAATGACAGTTTAGGATTTAAATTAATTACTTTAATTAAAAGATTCATATTTTGATTTTGATATTTTTATTACTGTTGGAGGGGAAATATGTGACCCTGGAGCACAAAACCAGTCTTAAGTCGCTGGGGTGTATTTGTAGCAATAGCAGCTTATTTATTCAGCTTTCAGATGATGTATAAATTTCAATTTCGAAAAATTGACCCTTATGACTGGTTTTGTGGTCCAGGGATAAGATAGGATATGATAATATGTTTAGTTTAAAATGTAAAAATCTTGCAATATATTAACAAAACTGTAATCAATAACATAGATAAGCACTTTTGTGTTTTTAGATAAAATAAAAAATCTAATAAACTTGTATTATGTACATTTTATATTATTAATATATATTTTATATAACTTGCATATATATATATAAAGTTACAAGTAAAATACTTATCTAGAAAAAATTCCATTTTGAGCAATTTCTTTGTCTCTTCTCTGATCTAAAGGAAAATGACAACATACTTTGAGGAGGTTCGCTCTCGTGCTGCTCAGAGTATGGAGGATGTGAAGGATCGTCTCCAACCTTACTTCACCTCAGTGCATCAGCGTGCTGAAGAGAAGCTGACAACTCTGGCAGATCTACTAAGAAGCCAGGGTGAAGGAATAAAAGAGAAACTGGAATCACAAATGCAGGACCTCAAAGAAAAAGTTGAGAAGAACACAGAGAATATGCGTAACACAATTCAGGAAAAGGCAGAGGAGATACAAAATTGGTTTGAGCCTTATGTGTCTCAGGTCCAGAAGCAACTGGAGACAGTCATGGAGGGCTTGTAATATAAATTAGAGGATTAACGTTTTCACTAAACTTTGCTTACAGAAATGAAGGTATTGGAAATGTAAACGTAATGAGTGAAATACACCATTAGTACTAGGGTGAATTCAGGTAAAGTGGGCCACTTTTTGTAAAACGTGTAAATTAGATACCTAGATGTTTTTTTTTTCTTTTCTTTATTTCTTTTGTTAACTTTAAGGTCCAGCTATAATATTTCAATTTGAATACAGTTCATATAAAGTGTTATTTGCAAGCTATATACCAATAAACATTTTGAGATCATGCACTCCAGACAAATTTCTTTTCAGGTCAAGTGGGCCATTCCTTATTTATCAAAAATTATTCTGCATCTTAATTAAAAACACATGATATATTAACACATATTATCAGACAAACATATTTAACAAACCAAAAATTATATAACCTATAGGTTATGAGTAAAATAAATAATGTGTAAATCCTTGTCTCAATTCATGTGTGAAATTCCAAACAACTGAAAGAACATGTTGTGCTGACCTTAAATTTTATGAAATCTGAATATCAGAATATTCAGAAATCAGAATATTGATAAAACATAGAGTAATATTGAACTCTACATTAAATAAGAAAATGTGACTATAACACAAGCAACAACAAATAGGCAAAAAAATTAAGAGCATCATTTAAAATAGTAATCATATGTAAAAAATAAATAAATTAAAAAATGTCTATGTTCTCTAAACACTTTAAATGAACTTTAATTGTGTTCATATTTTAAGCTTTATATTCTGCATCTACATTTTGCTCCTCTCAGCCTTTCTTCACGCCACAGATTTACCTTCATGCCTCGACTTCCTTTCTATTTTTTCTTTCCTTTCTTCCATCTCTGACTAGAATTTCCTGACTGCAGTCTCATTTCTGTTTTCTAAAAAAGTAAATTACACATGTCAGCTACAAAATTGTCAATTTATTTAATGAATTTGAATATAATTACTGAAGGTTAAAGGTCAGCCCACTTTACCTGAATCCCACTGGCCCACTTTATCTAACATATTCAGCCAAAGTGGGCCTGCAATATTTCAACAAGAAACCTAAAATATTTAAAAAATAATTATTTTTTTGCATTTTATTTAGTTAACTGTAGTAACAAACAAAGCAGGAACTGTCCCAATAATATTTGTTTCAATTTAGTGAGCAACCTTATAATTCATATGAGCTGAACAAAGGTGCAACACTCACTCTTCAAAGTTCAAGCTTTATTAATAAAACAACATGACGTTTCGGCCGCCAAAGGCCTTCATGGTCCCAATAATATTTGTTTCAATTTAGTGAGCAACCTTATAATTCATATGAGCTGAACAAAGGTGCAACACTCACTCTTCAAAGTTCAAGCTTTATTAATAAAACAACATGACGTTTCGGCCGTCCAAGGCCTTCATGGACAGCCGAAACGTCATGTTGTTTTATTAATAAAGCTTGAACTTTGAAGAGTGAGTGTTGCACCTTTGTTCAGCTCATATGTTTTTTGATTTTTGGTTGCACCTCCTCTTCTGTTGGTAGAGCACCTCTTTTTACATTTGTTACAACCTTATAATTCAGAAAGGAAAATCTTATGCCGAAGGGTTTTCTACCTTTCACCATAAGGCAGTCCTCCTTTAAGGTGTGGCCACACCCACCAGTGTCATATTGCATCAACCAAAACTATTTTATCACTTAGAGAAATAGTGTCCCTTTAATTAAGAACCATTGTTATGCTCTGAAAGTGTAAATCCATTGAGCACAGTACAATCAAACTTAAATGGCCCTCTTTACCTGAATTCACCTTACGTGGATGTAACTACAAATGTAAGCTATATAATATAATGTTCAATAAAACCAGCATGTACCAATGAGAATAAATATCCTGGAAAAATAAACTGTCTCTGTATAACATGTTTAAGGGTCAATTACATCACTTATTTTTGTCTGAATTGCATAAGAAATTGATAAACATGATAAACATGTTTTAATTTCTGAATTAAAGTCATTTTCATATTTCTGTGGGTTAAAAATGTATAGGTCATGTAAAAGTCTGTACTGTTTGGATAAAAAAAAAAAGGGTTGGAATTTTTTGGGGAAAAAATGTTAGCATGAGTAGCTCCATCATGGTGTCACTGATCAGTAGCACTTTTTTATTATTATTCTTGAAAATAAACTGTGCTTAACGTTTTTCAAACCAGCATAACAGTCATTCTTGAGACGTGGGACAAAACAGGTCCAGCAATGGTAACTGCTATTAGCTTTAAAAAATAAAAATATTTTCAATTTTAAATGTCACGAGGGATTAATAATAGAATGTATTTAACACAATTATCACCATCAATTTAATTTTCTCATTATTATACCAAATCTATGTTTCTTAATGTCCTCTCACTACATCTAAAACAGCGTGTCCACAGAGAAGGGTTCAATCATTCATATGCAATAAAACGGATAAAAATGTATTTTTAATGAAAAAAAGCTTGTTTTATCACGACCACATCGGTGAGTGCATTTAGATGCTTGGCGATAATTTGACGAATTTAGATGCTTGACGATAATTTTTCGTAATTTCCAAAATTGGCCTACGCGAACTGCTTTATAGTGTTCATCGAGCAGATGACGACTGGGGCTTTAACAGGGAGTCCATTTAAATAGTGTTTCATGTAAATTTATATAAATGCTGTAAGGTTTATAGTTTGCGAATTAGCACACAGCTAAAGTTCAGGCGTGACCAACTAACAAACACAGACAAACAAAACCTTTGAATTACTATATGAATACTATTTGTGCACTAACGTTAGTAGTAAACGCTTTTGAGGAAACTTTTATTGTCGAGTGCACAAAAAACTCGGACTGATCCTCCCCTACCTTGTTTTGCAAGTAATTTAGTGACGTTCATAAACATTTATCCTACCCCTGTGCTTTTAAAATCTAAAACTAACAAAATAATCACCTAGGGAGTTGTGTTTGTCAGGACGCATATTTAGTCTGAGTTGTTTGTCTCAGTGTTTGTTAATCGTGTATATATAAATGTAGGTAGGGAAACAGAAAACTATGAGCGTATACAAGTTGCCATTAACAAATATATAATTACAATAATCATAATTGTATTTGCCTAATTAATAATTAATTATCCGTTTGCTCACTGTAAAGAAAATACTGGAACTTTTAAAACTGAGTAAAAATTAAAATTAAATGGATGGACACAAAAATGTTACAAATCTATGCCATAGAGGTATGTCAGATATGTTTGGGCAGTTTCAGACTTGAGGTGCAGGTATGGGGATTAAAAGTAAATAATTTAAAAGAGAGCGTTATATCTTATGCAGCAGTCAAAATGGTCATCTTCAGGTCTTGATCAAGCAGTCTTCTATTTTTGTGACACATAAAATATTTAGCCAAAACTATATATTTTTTTTGATATAAAAAATTCATAGTAATAGTAGTAAACGTTTTTTGATCTATAAAATATGCTCAAATCTTGACTTTAAAATGATTAATAATGTTGAAAAAGAAAGGCACAGCATATATATACAATAATGGAACGAAATGGAATGAATATGCATAAAAATGTGCTCCTTTAGAAAACGTTTCTGCCATGTTGTCATGTTTAACACTATATATCATGCTTTGCCTGGTTTGTGTTTGACAACAGGCTTCTTTGCTAACATATTGGCACTTAATGTCTGAATAAAATCAGACATCATTTAGCATAGTGATTTGCTCATAGGGAACTCTGTCTTTAAACTAAACCTAATATCTAAACTTACAACTAAATATAAACAATTTCCCCCCCCTCACAGGCATTTCATAAGAGCATTTTAACTCAACAAATCATTTGGGTACCATGGATGGCGAGTTACCACCATGGAATAAACATGGAAGTCATAACAGCAGGACTCCCTATAATACTGCAGGGGAACGTCAGGAGGTAGGTTACAGTAATTATATTTCTGTACATTATGATAAAGTAATGACAGAGGGAAATTGTGGTGAAAGAGCAGAAGAGTTCTCTCACAGTACCTGGCTCCCAACACAGTCAAAGGTAGGTGACATATCAATTGTAAGGCTGAATACCAACAATATTAGGTTGCATCCAGTTCCTCACTTCTAAACTCAAATATCCCTTCTTTATTTTTAGGGCCATGATGACATGATAGGAGACAGCTTTGCTGCTGGAGAACAAATGACGTCACTGTCATCTTGTATGAGTGGTGCATTTAAGGCTTTGTTACCAGATCACCATGGAACTTCTTCAGCAATGTCAGCAAACTCTGATAAATATTCATATTCTTCTGATAATCATTGTCTCATCAAACCTGGCATTGCAGTGGACAAAAAGTCAGCAGTGGAAAGTGATTTTTTGAAAGACCCTTTGGGTGAAGCATCAGCTAGTGTCACACATATGCTTCCTCTCAGGTGTGCCCAATATGTGAGACATGAAAAGGTGTGTAACCTCTACACTGCATAACCAAAATAAATGTTATTTCTCCATTGTCATTTAATATCTGTCTTTTCACAGAACCGAGAATTGGACCAGGGAAATGGTAATTGGACATCAGTGATCAAAGATGCTTTAGAAATGAGTAATGGAATGGAAATGGAACAGACTTTATCCATGGATGAATGTGGTCCCCTAATGGACTATAATCTTATATATAAAGGACCTGAAACGGAGGCAAATTTTAGATTAAAGGGCCACTTTAATCTTCAGATTGCAGGATCCAAACTAAATGAGAAGCAGGATGGGCAAGGAGTAAAAGAAGAACCGGATTCCTTTATTTCAATGTTGTCAGATGATATCAGTAAAAATAAAGATGTTCTGGAAATGGTAGGTGCTAATATTAAAAATGTTTTGAATGTAGATTTTATAAAACAGAATGTAAATTAAGCCACCAAAGAACAAATAATTTATTTATTGTCATATATTTCAACTGTTCTCAGGGGAAACATGAGGAGGCAAGCATATTAGATGTTGGATCATCTCTGGGAAAAGAGGAACTTGGAATTACTGGAATCAGAGAACATGAGCTAGGGTTATTACCAGGATTTACCAGGAGTTCATACACTCCTTTTTCTTCATCAGAAAGTCTTACAAAAAGTGAACAGTTTTCAGGTATTCCTTTGGACAACCAGTCTGTTGGTCACACCCTCCAGGTAACAAGACAACGTGGGCTGTCGTGCAAAGATGTCAGTCCTAGAAAAACTGCCAGCACAAATACTGGCTTCAAACATGCAAAAGTAAACAATGAAACTGTTCCTGAAAGTTCTACTGTATATGGGCTTCATCATCTTGATCTTCAAAAGGGCTGTCACCAAGCAGAGATTACAGATGGAAAAACTTCAGTTAATTCTCAGGATCATTCCTCACAGCATAATGTGCAAGACGAGAGGGTAAAGACAAGCAAACCGCATGTCTCTGAGAGTACAGTAATAAAACAAAGCGCTGCATATCTGCCCAACACTCAATACTTTGGAAGTAAACTAAAAAAGCAATTTCATGATCTTGTACCCACTCCAACCTCAGTGGGCAGTCAAAACACAGCTGTGGTTAAATGTGAAAACGTAGAACTGCGGATCCCAACAGAAGAAAGGATCTCTGAGAGCAGTCTATCTGTGCCAGGAAAAAATGAAACTAATGATTTTCAGGAGACATCTATTAGCACAAAAAATGCTAAACTCAGTCTAAAGGTGGAAACAAAATTTGCCCCTGAAATTCAGAACTCCTCTTCAGGATCAGAGACAGTTCCAAATCTACCTGTTTTACCCAACATAATTCACACTGATTATAAATGTAAAGACTCCCAGACTGAACCATCTGAAAGCGGCAAATTAAATGAGCTTTGTTTTCAAGAGAACAATTCAAAAAACATCCACATCCAACAGAAACAAACCCAAACTAGTGTAAGTACGGTTCTTCTGCATTTTAACGAAAATTTTAAAAACTCTGATAGAAGTGAAAAGGTATTTCTCAACATTAATTCAGAAAGCAGTATTCCTCCATCTACTGAGAATGTTCAGGAAGCTCCACCTTCTCCTACATCAAGGACTGACTGCTCCTCTCAGCATAACCTACAGAAAGCATCGCAAAGGCATAAGAAAGCAAGAAAAAGAAAAAAATCTGAGCTTGAAGCATTAAGTGGACCGATTCACAAAGCTAATAAAAGAGATAACTGTTCTGTGTATGGATCAGAAATATTAGAGAGTGTTGACAAACTAGACACAGCAAGATACGAGGAAGCAAATCAAAATGTTTCATTGGCTGATAATGACAGTACTGCACCGAAAGAGGAGGACTTAATTACAAATGGTGATGTAAACCCACCTGCACCTAGGAAAAAATGTCGAATGGCACAACTTGAGCTAGTGGCAGATACAGCAGAGACCCCACAAAAACCAGATCATAGCTGCTCTGAAGCCTCACAGGAAGAAGTACCATCAAACTCTAGGATCAACAGGAAGGCTATTTCTAGAAAGAAACTGAAGAAAAAAACAAGGTTAAAGGCAAAAAACTCTGCTACCCTTAGTTTGTCTCAAAGCACTATCTTGTCCCCAGAAGAAGACTGTACATCACATTTTCAGGTCAGTGACACCACTCCGATGAAAGGAGTCAGTAATCCAACAGTAACCCAACATGCCATCTCTAGTTTAGAGTCCAGTCCAGAAAAATTACAAAAATCCAGAAAAAAGGCTACAAAGCAAACACTACAAAGCAAAGAAGATCTGTATAAAGATGTTCCCACATTTTCAGAACCCAAGGAAGACTTAGTAGACGTCAAAAGGCATCAGAAAATGAGAAGATTTCCTATAAAAGCTTCTAAAGGAAAAAATATGAATGCAACTAGTTTTTTGAATAGACAGTCTTCACTAGAGCCTCAAACTGATTCTGTTTCAACCTCTGTGACTGAATCTTCAAACATTGTATGCCGTCAGAATAGCCCAAATAAATCAAAGCAGAAGAAAAGAGCATATATCCACAAAGCAGCAAAAACACCCAACGTGTGCCCACAAGAGGATATGGAAAACGTGATGACTTCAAAAACAAAAATTGTGAAAGCAAAAAGACCTCTGAAAAAGGCAGCTAGAAAAGATAACAATGAAACTACTCTTTTGGACACCCAGTCTTCTATAGCCACTGTTAAGCAAACGGATTCTGTTTCAAATGTAGGAAATGAAGTTGAGTCTCCTGTTATTCTCAGCACACCAAGAAAGTCACAGAAAAAGAAATTGTCAGATATGTGTGTTTTGAATCCACTCTCAGAAACTGATGTCAGCATTGTGCAACCAACTACAAAAAGATTCAGAACACAAAAAACACTTGACAAAAAAGTTTCTCATAACACAGTCGGTGAGAACTGTGAACCTGCTCATTTGGCTCTTTCCTCAGTTGATTCTGTGTATGCTACAGAAACTGACTATTCAGGTATCAGCCAACAGAGCACTGAAAAGACATCAAATAAGAGGAGAAAGACAGACATCAAGTTTATGGAGGCACAAACATCCACTACTAGCCAACAGGACGACATCACTTTACCGCCCTCAGAAGATTTTTCATCTATTGTGGTTTCAAATCCAAAAGAGACCGTGAAAGTCAAAGGAATTTCTAGAAACAAAACCAATGACAACCACTTAAATGGTAATTTGGTTGAAGAAACATCTTTATTAGCAACTGTGACACAAGAAAGTAATATTTTACCTGGAAAGATTGACTCTTCAAGCAGTTTAAGACTAAGCAGGACACTGAAAAAGCCAAGAAAAAAGACTGTAACCAAAACCAAAGATGAGGCAGCAGAAATACTCAGTGTAAACCAGCATGAAGATCTGGATGCAGTACCCTCAAAATCTGGTGCAAACATAGTAGCCACCAGTTCGCAAATTATTTTAAAAGAAAAAAGAACTGTGGAAAAGGCAATTAGACAAGAAGTGAAGGAAGACCATGCAGTTGCTCTTTTCGAAATGCAGGCTTCTACACTCACTCTGCAGCAAACAGAATGTTTTTCAACTTCAGTTCACAGCACAGCAAAAAAATCTAAGAAAATGTCTGACATTAAATGTGAAGCAGTACATACACCTGCAGTTGACCAAACAATGCAACACGAAATCCATGCATTTGATTCTGCATCAGCCACAGAAATGGGTAATTCAGATGTTCTCAAACAAAAGAAGACAAAAGTGAAGAGGAAAAGACAGTCTAAAAAGCCCACTAAATGCAAAACACACATTACCCAAGCAATCAGCGATATTAGAGAGCAGTCTACTGTGCAGCAAGAAAATTCAGTTTCAAACAGAAGGACAAATTCAAGGTCAGAAGACATGACAATGGAATGTATGAAAAAGAGAACATCAGCACTGAATGTCAGAAATGATCAACCAGAGGACCATGTTGAACATTCTACAGTTTTGTCACCACTTCTGCCTCCACCGATATCTCAGAGTAAGGATGCAACACAAGACTCTTGCAAAAAGACAGACACTGTGAACGAAACAGCTGAAAGTCATGTTGAAAACCAGGTTTCCATCACTACTGAAGATGTTGCAAGCCCTCAGAGTTCGCTTAAGGCAAAGAACAAACAAAGGAAACAATTGCTAGAGCAAAAAGAAGAGAATGAACAAAGCAATATCCTAGAGCTGGCTCACAGAGAGGACAAAATGTCAGATGTCCCATCTGTTGTGAGAGAGGTAGCCACTGAGAATTTTGAAACAGACAGCTGTGACCAGCATTTGAAGGTTGCTAAGAAATCCAAAAAATCCATGGAAATTGCAGAAACACATGGATTTGCTAGTGTTTCTTTGTCTCAAGAGAAAAACACTGGATCAGACGAGGCAGGTGTCATGGTCACTTTTACACAGGATGAAGATTTATGTAAACTGTCTGATAGTCAGACCATAGGATCACAGCAGTCTGAAAAAGATGGCACTGTGGTTGATCAGAAAGACCTCAAAGCCACAAAAAACACTAAGAAAAAGGGTAGAAAAGCTGGACGAAAGAAGAAGAAGGTGGCATGCCTGTTAACTCAAACCATTGAAAAAGAGGAACATAAAGATATATGTTATGACAACAGAATTGTCTCTGATTTTCAAAACAACACACAAATTCAAATTTCTGAAATTTCACAGAGGATAACAAATATTCCAGAAGAACCAGTACTAAAATCAAGAAAATCAACCCGCACACAAAAAATACACTCAGGTCCAGTTGTTGAGAATTTGTTAACACAGGGCAAGAGCACAGTCTCTTTAGACATCACTGAGTGTCACACAACATTTGGAGAGATTCTTTCCAGTTCCATGCAAACTGCTGATTGTGAAGGCCAATACACTGTTGAGAAAAAGCCACCAAGACGAGGAAGACCCCCTTCAAAGAAAAGCAAAAAACAGAAATTATTTGTAGCGCATTTAGAAGATAACACCTCTCCATCTGTCCATATATCAGATCTCACTCCATGTCAAGACAGCACAGAAAATACTGTCAAAGCAGCTGCAAGTACAGTAAAGCAAAAGGTTATGGATAAAAATGTAATTGTTACCAAACAATTAGGGACTGATCCCCCAGAATCCCTTCAGAGTGCTACTGATCTCTTGTCACACAGCATCCCTACATCTGGGCGTAAAAAAGGGAAGAACCTTAAAAGACCAATAAGAAACCCAAAGTTATCAAGCTTAAGAGTATCTAGCAGAACATCTGAAACATCAGTCAAAAGTTTTCAAAAAGGAGACATAACTTCCCTCCCACAAAACTCCACAAAAGTTTTTAACGAAGAAGGGAAAACATCTTTGCCTATGCCTGAGACAGTAAAGAAACAGAAACTCTGTGAAAAAACTTCTATAAAAGATGGCAATGTGCCGGCAGATATAAAGATTGAGAATAAGGCAACAATTAAAGTACTGAAAGGAAGAAAACGTGGTCGGAAGAGACGAAAAATTAAAGGCGGACAGCATCAAAGATTAAAAACACAAGATTGTTGTGAACCAGCCAAAAGTTTACTGACAAAGTTCAATATAACCAGTAAATGCTCTACTGAGGACCAAAATAATATAGTCACACCAGAGAAAAATGATGAGAAAACCAAGTTAGACAATGTTGAAATGATCCCACCAATAACTGCAGAGACCTGCAAGATAACACCAAAAACAGACGTCCTATGCAGTTCTCCAACTGACCTGTCCTCCAATTTAGTGAAAGAAGTCAAGAAGTACAAAGTGGAAGGACACAGTGCTGAGCCGAGTGGAAAAGATTCATTTGAAGTTTCCGTGCAATCTTATACTGATAATACAGGAGTCTCAATAGGAATTTGTAATTTAATTTCCAGTAATGTGGTCAAGGAGAATTCAGACCCATTTTTTCTGGATACAAAAATTAAACCCAACACTGAGCTGAAATGTACTGAGGAAGCAGATGGATTAAGTGTGGAAACGTCAGGGAAAAAAGTACTTGATAACTCAACTGAGCCAGAAAATGCACTTCAACCTTCTACAGAACGGAAAGTGGATGGTTTCACGCAGGATAGTGAAGACTGTGTTGTCATGCCAAACAAAGTGGCTAATAACAGGACAATAAGATCCAAGCCTAAAGAAATAGTGAAAAAACCTCTCACATGCAAATACTGTGGCGTTTCCTTTCGGCACATTACAGCATACACCATTCATCGACGCATTCATACAGGTGACAAACCCTACAAATGCAAGATTTGTGGAAAAACTTTTGCTCAACTGTCTAAACTAAAGTCCCACCGTAACGTACATAAACAGGATTCCTCTTTTCCTTGTCCTTGCTGTAGCCGAATGTTTTTGCAGAAAGATGAGTTGCTATGTCATTTTAAAGTCCACCTGCAGGAATCAAAAGCAAACAGTGAACCACATAAGCACGTAAAAAGCAAGAGAAATATTTCATCAAATGTGTCTTCAGAGACCCCAAACAATTATGGGTGCCTTATTTGCAAGAAAAGCTTTGTAAACCACGTCAAATTGCAGAATCACATGCAAGTGCATGAAGTGGAGAAGCCCTTGACTTGTAAAAACTGTGAGAAGACATTTAGGAAACAGTCAAGCCTCATAGCTCATGAAAAAACCCACTGGCCTGTTAAACCATATGCTTGCTCGATTTGTGGAAAAGGCTTTAACCAACTAAAAGCCCTAAAAAAGCATTCTCAAGACCATGCTGGTGAGACACCTTTCTCCTGCTTTCACTGCGGTCATGGATTCAGTGCCCTGTCTGCACTTAGGATGCACCAAGCATCCAAAACATGCATTGCAAGGAGAAATTATGAGGCGAGCAATAACACTGAGGGCTTCATTGTAAGTCAAGGAGTTGATGGTCAAGTGAACACACCAGTATTCTTCAAGTGCCAAATATGCAAACAACTTTTCAGGAAATGGTGCCAATACACTCTTCACCTTCAAACACACACCAGCTCTCCCCCATACATTTGTTTTTCCTGTGGACAGTGTTATGAGAAGGATTCAGAGATGAATGTTCATTGTGAGGTTTGTTGCCAGTCAAGTGGGGAGGAGAAGATTTGTAGTGCATCACTTACCGAAATCATGCAAGGTGTTACCCAAACCTACCCTCTAAAGTGTACCTCATCTCAGAGTCCAACAAGTACAGGATTTCAGCTGGATTCCCAAACGACAACCAGTTCAGAACAGCTCCCGCAACTGCCTCAATTGGTGGATGTGGAACCTACACAAACAAGAGATACAGATCTTTCAAAACTTCCTAAAACGTATTCTGCCCATTCACCCATTAAGCTCCCAAATGCCCAATCACCCACTCGTTCTGATGTTAACTGTTCTGATGTTAACTGTACTTCCCCAAGTAGCTCTCTAGAATGCATTGAAATCACTCAGAGTCTTTGGAAATTTAAATGTTCGCGTTGTGGTCAGCGATTCGAGAGGTACAGGACTTTGAGTGCTCATCTGCAAACACATGCTCCTGGTTTCATATATACTTGTGCACAATGTGGACAGTTCTTTGAAAGGTGGAGTAAACTATGGCTACATCAGAAGCATCATCGCCTAAAAAGTCGTTGTTACTCCTGTACGCAGTGCAATCTGCAGTTTCGTTTCTTTAGCTCTTTTAGAGAGCATATGATTGACCATGCAGGGCAGAGACCGTATGCTTGTCCCCTCTGTCCCAAAACCTTCATTCAGGAGGCAAGCTTACATGCTCACCAATGTGAGTCTCATAAACTTTGTAAAAGTCTGAAATGTGATGTCTGTTCTAAGACTTTCAATAGTTTAAGAAACCTAATCAAGCACAGTCTTCTGCATAATGGTTCTACCTCTCACGTTTGTCTCCTTTGCAATCTCTCATTCACAAATACAAGAGTCTTAAAGGAACACTTGAAAACACACACCACATACCATGGACCGGCCCTCCCTGATATTCCATCAAAGCCACTTGATTTTCCTCACAAATGCAAAAGGTGTAAAGCTAGCTTTTCAACTGGAGAGTTGCTCTACGCTCATCAGATACGTCATTCTAGAGATGCAAAGACTCACATCCGTCCAGCAGTAGTACCTACCTCAAAATTGTTCGATTCTTGTCATAATGACACACCATCTACCCCACCTTCCACTCGCAGGAATCATATATCAAACCTCAAACTTGATGGCATACCCAATGACAGCCTGTATGTTTATTCCCACCCTGACAGAATCTATGTGCCCCCTAGTGGCAGAGTACAGCTTCCGGTCATTAATTTGGACCCTGATGAACCAGAGGATGTTTCAGACTCTCAGAATCCTGGTCATGAACTTCCAAACAGTGAAATTACTTCTCAGTCTGACAGCACACACCTACCTCAGGCCACTTTAGATCATGAAACCACCAACCTAAATTCAAGTGAAAGCATAGAGATGATGGCAAATGGTCAACATAATTACAGCCGCAAGTATCAGAGAAGCCCTTCATTTGTGGAGACAAGTGTTGACATGGAAGTAGAAACACCTGCTCAAGAAGAAGATTCGTCGGAGAGTTTTGAATGTGCAGACTGTACTGAAAAACTAGCCAGCGTGTTGGGCCTTTATGAACATTACATTCTTCATGCAATGGGAGATGCATATGTACAGGTAAACTGATAATGCTAGAAGGTAGACATTTTCCCACATATATTATGCTTTAAAATTAATGTTTTGAAACAAATATGTGTTGATGACATCTGTTTTACAGTTTCAATGTTTAAAGCAAATATTGGCAGAATGTTTAACTTGTATTTTTTACATCTTGAACAAAAGTGGGAAAAATTAGCATTACTACGACTCTTCCTTCTAGCATGCTTTTTTCAACCCTCAGGTTCATTCATTTTAAAAGTTGTTGCCCAGCCACTCCTAGATACTGTATTACTGGGGTCATTTCACTACGCCTTATCTCCGTTATCTCTGTACTGCCATTCATCATCTCCTTTTGTGCCTTCAGTGATAGTTTTGGTTCTGTAAGAGATCTGTAAATAGATATACATAATTCTGTATAACTCCACAACCTCCTAATCCTTCCTTTGTAAAGATCTCATGGTTACGTTTTCAACACCTTTTTAATTCAATTTTGTAATATTGAGAGGTGGTTAAATATAGATTAACCTTGACCATTCATATATGAATGTCTGGATGGGACAAAAATATATTGTATATTGTAAAAATGAGTAGATCTTGAGAACATTAGAATATTTTTGGAAAATAATTGCTTTGAAAAAATCCAAAAGATTCTAAGTGGATTCAGTTTTTTTTTTTTTATAAAACATACTACTTGTCATGTGTAATATTTTCATTATATTGTCAGAGATCCTACAGACAAGCCGAGGTAAAATATGTTTCTAAGCAAAATAAAACTGTAAGGCTTCTGATCAGATGTCATGTTTTAATAGCAATAGAAAAAAAGCAGAAACCGTTCAGATTACATATTTTGCATGGGTTTATCAAATATTTAATCAGTTATGCACAGAGCAGAAGGGGGAAAAGATCATTAGCAAGCTATGTGTGAATTTTTGAGGTACCACACAACACTGCAGTAATTTGGTAGTGAATGTCTCCGCAACTCCATATGCACCTAAAACTGCTTTTATAAGGACTTTTGATGGCCACTTTTTGAAGGAACTCATTTCACATGTCAAATGGCACGTACATCAATCAGTAACAGAACACTTGAATTTAATTCTTCTTCTCATCATCTTTTTTCCCCTCTTGTTTGTTACCACTCTGAGAGGCTAGGGAGCCCATGGCATTACGGATGGCCTCATTGTTGGGATCAACACCAGGTAGATTCTCCAGGACACTTTGGAGGAATTCTGGGTCCTGCATTACATCATAATCATCATCTTCCTGTAGAATCAGTTAAAAAGTGCAAGAGAAATGACAAGTCACCAGGGAGTATAAGGGAACAGTGTTCTGTCACAAGGAAAAGACATGGGAATATATTTCTGTCAGGACCACTATCGTCAAAGATGATTGACAATTAGCATACAGTTTGGATTGGAGGTTTTCATTATATTGTCAAAGATCCTACAGACAAGCCGAGGTAAAATATGTTTCTAAGCAAAATAAAACTGTAAGGCTTCTGATCAGATGTCATGTTTTAATAGCAATAGAAAAAAAGCAGAAACCGTTCAGATTACATATTTTGCATGGGTTTATCAAATATTTAATCAGTTATGCACAGAGCAGAAGGGGGAAAAGATCATTAGCAAGCTATGTGTGAATTTTTGAGGTACCACACAACACTGCAGTAATTTGGTAGTGAATGTCTCCGCAACTCCATATGCACCTAAAACTGCTTTTATAAGGACTTTTGATGGCCACTTTTTGAAGGAACTCATTTCACATGTCAAATGGCACGTACATCAATCAGTAACAGAACACTTGAATTTAATTCTTCTTCTCATCATCTTTTTTCCCCTCTTGTTTGTTACCACTCTGAGAGGCTAGGGAGCCCATGGCATTGCGGATGGCCTCATTGTTGGGATCAACACCAGGTAGATTCTCCAGGACACTTTGGAGGAATTCTGGGTCCTGCATTACATCATAATCATCATCTTCCTGTAGAATCAGTTAAAAAGTGCAAGAGAAATGACAAGTCACCAGGGAGTATAAGGGAACAGTGTTCTGTCACAAGGAAAAGACATGGGAATATATTTCTGTCAGGACCACTATCGTCAAAGATGATTGACAATTAGCATACAGTTTGGATTGGAGGTATGGTTCCGTTCTGAGCAAGAACTTCCTGCACATCCATGCAGCCTAGCATGGATGAGAGCAGGGAGAGGAGCAATAACCCCCCAGGGTAAACAGAACAGAACCAACATAAACGTACTGCAGATATTGTTAAAGTTCAATAATTTTATGTACACATTTTAGAATTAGTCTGATTCAAAGGAGAATCGGAAGGCTGAATCCCGACTGACAGAGGAGGAGTTGGGGATGGAGGAGGGTAATCAGCTATTGAGCAATGCGAAAACTGCTGATAATACTGAGGAACCTTATCTATGAATGCTTATGGCGCTTTTCCACTGCATGGTACGGCTCGGTACGGTTCACTTTTTGGGGGTTTTCCACTGGGTACAGTACCTGGTACTTTTTTTAGTACCACCTCGGTTGAGGTTCCAAGCGAACCGTACCGTTACAACCGAGCCGAACCGTGCCGTACTGAGCCGTGCCGAGCCGAGTCGTACCACGCAGTGGAAAAGCGCCATTAGATAGGTGTCGTATTCCCGGTAGATGGGGATCAGCTGAGAGTCAGCTGATGCAAGCTTGACTAACGTGACCTGCCAGAACTAATGCTTACGCTTGATATAATGACCAAAAATAATAAAAAAAATTTTCAGTAGATTCCTGCTCAGCTATTTGAAACTTACAAAATACAAACAAATTTGAAGTTTGATTTCTCAGTATCCTGAGACTGTGATGAGCCCAACAGACAATATTTTTAATTACCTTAGATTCCGCAGTGTCCATTGGAGCTCCCGTATCCACTGATTCTCCAAATTCTGACATAAGAGGGATAATGGTCAATATCACATTCTGTGTCAAGTACAGAGGATATTCTAAGACTAAGAAGGTATGAGAGGGAGGCACAAACCTCCACCTGCCAGGGACATCTGCATGGCATAGGCTATCTGCTCCTCCTCTGTCATGCTGCTGAAGTCCGGCAGTGCTGCCACACCAGTCTCAGGCTGAGAGGCAGACATCTTCAGAAGAGCTTCCTCTGATTCTGAAGAGGAGAACAAAAGTGGCACAGAAAATCAGGACTCTGTCTTGCAATGGGAATCAACTAAAAGGTTAAGAATCAAAAGTATGGAGATGAAGACTGACAATCTATTTGAAAATTAAAAAGCAAACATCAGTGCAATTTTACTACTTGAAAATGAACAGGCTGCATTTGCAAATAACTGAAAATGTTATGCAGAATTAGGACCATGTTGAAGTCACCATGAAAGGCTATAAAGGTGAAAGATGCTTGATGCTGCCTAATGGTGTAGTACCAGCATCTACCAGCAGGGGCTAACGCAATCCTTACAATTTTGGTACATTTTGAAACCTGCATTCTATCCAGTACTAGACCAGAGCCACTATGCCTCACTATTTTAAACATTCAAGCACATCCTTACCGTCAGCGGTTGAGGTGGGAATGCCAGCCTCAGCTGCTGATTGGACAGTCGCCCTACGAGCCTCCTCTTCCTGCCTCTGCCTTTGTTCCTCCATAGATACACGCAGAGCCTGTGGATCAAGAGCAACTTAAATAAATATCTTCCCTTTCAATGTCATTAGAATTGATCAAGTGAGACTGAACTAAAAATACAAAAAAATGTTACTGACTTAATAAAGTTGCTGGTAAACAAAGTTAAAGCATCACATAGCTTCAGTGTTCACACACTTTGAGGGAATCAACCTATAAATGTTTTACTCATAGGTGTTTCTGCATAATAAACATATGTATAAGAAGTTTCACCTTTAAATAACAGACACATTTCACCTGTAATGCTATGGATTCATTCTTCAGTGCAGTTATACAAGAGATGAATTTGTATCTTACCAGGGCCAGTTCTGGGTCCGCACTGGGGTCCACTCCAAACTCAAAGTCACTTGCACCCAGGCCCATCATGGTACCACCCTCACCAACCAGGATGGGAGAAGACAGCAGGGCATCAGCCAGGCTGGGCCCAGGGGGCACCGTGACCAGATGAGAACCTGTGCCCTCCTTTCCATTCAGAGTGTTCACAAATGCAGTTAGTTTCTCTGTGTTCATCTCCTGAACAGATTGATTAAAAGAGAGAAAGTGAAAAATCAAAGCAAGAAAATCCGAAAGATTTTAAAGTGAACAAAAGAAAGGTGCCAGTTACCTCTTCTCCAAAATTGATCACATCAACATTGACCTTTTCTTTTTTCAACCGCTTTGCCAACTTCACTATCTTAAAAGGATTTAGTGAAAAAAATAATGTTTATAACTTGTATTACATAAAATATTCAGTTAGACCAACAATGAAAGATGAAAAGCATTTGTCATTCATTAATAAACAACAACAACAAAAAACATACATCTTTTTCGTTGTCCTCTACTGGGCTGCCCACAAAAGCAACAATCCTCATCTTGTGGTTCTTGCCTTGTCTATGCTTTAGTGCCAACTAGATGCAGACATACACAGATTAAAATACTACTTTCACTTTTTTAAAAAGGAAATTCCCCAAAACCTATTTAATTTCTGAGAGAGAACTATCCCTATAAGCATCTATGAATGTACATACGTGTGCCACTCGTATGCTGGTGCAGAATGAGATTTTTCCAAGTGGCTGAACCGCATGGAGCTTTGAGAGAATGCGGCCAGGGTCTGGTGTTAAGGTGGTTAGGACCTCACAATTACTGCAACAAACCAAAAGATGTGCTATTACATGTAAACAGCACTACTGACAGATCATACATATATGAAATAAAATACAACACTGACACACTTACTCTGCCATTGTGATTAGGCCCACATTGTTCTCTGGGTTACTACGGGTCTTTGAGTGACAGACAATGTTGACAGCATCCTGCTGTGCCTGTAATCTAGTGGGCAGGAAATCTCCATTCCTCATGTATTCACTGTTGTCTACACTGTAAAAACACGTGAAGACAATCAGCATGTTTTCATCCAACTTATACAAGTATAAGAGCATAAACTGAGTGCTGACATTTGCAAGGGATAAAAAAAAAAAAAATCAAACACTGGCAAACACTAGGAACATTGGTGGTCCTAGTTTTATTTACATAACAGCCAAAGTAAGTAAACTGGATCCCAGCAGTGCAAAACTGCTTTAGAATAATGTCTGTGAATAAAAACCAAGTGAGCTGACTATCTAGACATCTTTTGAGTGCGTTATACCAACAATTCACCTCACTAGACACTAGACAGTCTGAGACACAACCAGTATCGCTTTATGACAATTATAGAAGACTAAATAAGACGCTATCAGACTGAGTTCACTAATAAATGATCATAATTTATGGGTCATAAATGTGTTTTTGTGTTAGTGGTCTGTTTCTTTATTGCAGAGCTACGTGCTGAATAATGACTCAGGAGAATGTCATTCTAAACAGAAACCGACTATTGAATTATCTTACTTGTTCTTAACTAAGGGCTCAAAAGTGTGTCAGAAGGAAAACCCTATGTATTTACAGTAAGTCTGAGGAGTATTAACTATGCAATAAGAGCAAATATATCTACAACAACGAGTTTGTTTATTTCTTACCAGACCATAGTACTTTCCAGCACCATCTTGGAAATCCTCTAGTCCGTTTCCCACAGTCCGAGCGTCGCTGATTGGCTTACAGATGTAGAACAATGACGAGAGTTGTAACAGCAAAGCTGATTGGCTGACAGTTCCGTGACGCTTCTGATACAGGAAGCGGTGCAGACATGTATTTGTCGCGCCCACATGTGGTGGGAGTTCGCGTTGCTGAGGACGTTGATAAATTTAAGGGATAGTTCACGCCAAACATTAAAATCGTCATAATTCCTCACCCTAATGTTGTTCCAAACATTTTTTCCAGGATATTTTAGGGAAAAGGCAAAGTGTATGGGACTAACAACCTCACCATTCACATTCATCGTTACTTTTACACATAACGAATTAATATTTTTCTGAGACAATCATTCTAACATCTCTTTATGTATTTCACAGAAGAAACAACATCATACACGTTTGTAATAACTTTAAGTGCAGCTGTAAACCATGAAACACTGTGCCTTTAACAGGCTTTAAGATAGTAAAGCATAACACAGGAAGTTCTACTTTTCAGTGTTGTTTATTTCATTCATTTGCATACAGCATGAAATGTTGCAATATTTTCCACTCCAAAAGTCTTAATATCCTCTGCAAGAGAGCAGAAATACATGAATGTCATTGTAAGAGTGAAGAATATTATTTTCATAAAGCTACTACATAAGACCATTCTCAGTTTGATAGACAACAAGAATGAAGGCAGCATTTTCAGAGTAAACAGCAATTGCACAGGAATCCCCGATCGTAAGTGTACAGTAAAAAAAAAAAACATTCACCTTCCCAAACAAATTTACACAGCCACCAGGTATCAGACACTTTGGAAGTTGAGATAAAGAAATAAATTACATGCAAACATACAAATAAATATTACTTTTTACAGGAATGTTTCTTTTGTTTAGAAAAATGGTCACAGAAAAAGATTCAGCAACTTTCCCTTACTCCACTTATTTGTATTTAAAAACATTTGCATTTTCATTACCAATGTCTCTGTATTCAGACTGACTGATTAGCATGAACATATATATATATATATATTTTTTTTTTAAAAAAGGTTTTGGTTTAGGATTTAGTTTAGTTTGATTTCAATTCTCTTCACAAAACCGAGACCTTAAGAGAAGTTTCTATTCTACCCAGTTTAAGTAAACATAAAAAAATACTGAAGACAGTACAGATGCTATATATTATTTTACAGTAGTTAGTCTGCCAAATGTGAAGTATTATTGTGCGCAAAAAAAACAACCATTTTAAAAATGTGTCCCACAAGCCAAAATATTGAATTTATATATGGTATATATTTCTTCCATTGTTACAAAAGTGATCTTTTTACCCTGTGTTTTTTTGTTTTTTTTCCCTCGCTCTTTTTTTCCTAACAATGTAAAGCAAACAAGACTGGGGAAAGCATTTTCTTGGAAAGCTCCAAATATTTTTTTTAAATTAATTCTATTTTAACAATCACACATGACCGACTAATATTGTTTTTGCAATTGTGCACAACCACTCACAGGCATCATGCACAGAAAAAGGCTTCCTGTTTATGACAAGGCAAAATAACTTGTGATTAAGGCACATTTAAATATTCAATACAATATCACAGTATTGCAATCAAATCGATTCATAAAACCCAAGTCGTACAGATTTTATAAATTCTGATTTGAAAAAGTGTCTTATGTGATTGTTCGGGCAACCTGATCTGGCTCAACTCACTTCTACATTTTTTTCCGTTGTTGTTGTTAATAATCATGCCATATCCCTAAAATGTCTTTAAAATAGGCAATAAAAACTCAAAATCAACCAGACTTCTTTTCTTCCCTTAGCAAAGTAAATAACATGACCCCTGCAGATTGGTCTCCTTGGCAAATTAAGAGAAAAAAAGATGCATGGTCAAATGAAGTCCACTAGAAAACTCTCACCGAGGTACTCAAAAGACCTGTTTGTTCCCCAAGAGCGGGTCACATGATGCAAAGTTCTCATCACTTTACTTCTGCTGTGAACATTCTCAGGTTCAAAAAGTTCTTGTAAATATGGCACTGTTTGAGAACAGTGATATCACACTGTTGAGGTACTACAGTGGCATCTTTCTTTTGATTCTATTTCTTAGCAGCAATATTGGAAGCCATTTTGTTGACATCCAAACAATACATAAAAAAGGGGGAGAACATATTTATCTTTACGTCTTTACTGTTTTATGAACATGTGCACTTCTCTCTTTTGTTATCCAGATTCTCTGGTTTCCAGTTCCCCAGGTGTTTACAGCAAGATCATCTTACTTTAAAGACCATCTTACTTCCTGTTCTGATGTCCTTAAAAGAGAACAAATCTTTGTCCTTGAGGGCTTTACTTTGTCCTGTTCATCCAAAGTCTTTCACTGCAACAGCAAGAGAAAGAATAAATTACACTACTATAGAACAGGGTTGAATGACTAAGACGAGTAAACTAGCAATGCTTGCTTTGTAAAAAGCAGCTCTCATTTCACAGTGAAAAGATCACATTGCAATCAATGATTTGTAAATGTGCATGCACTCTGAGGATAAAGAGAACCTTTCATTTCACAATCTTATTTGTTGGCATGATAGAGCAGCATCTCTCAAATTATTTCAGATTTTATATTAGATATCAAGTGGTGACCCAATAAGGTAGCAAAACGCTAACAAAAATGTCTTAAAATCAAATATTAAAATGTATTCATATTACCATGCCTAGCCTGAACAATATGTAAATGTATTAATATGGCAGGCTGAACAAGTCTGTTTTGCAAGTGTTAAAAGTCGATCATAATAACTGTTCACAATTGCAGCCCACTAGTTGAGAACCACTGTTGCATGACATCCAAAACACTCCTAAAATATCAAGTGTGTCTGTTTTTAGTCTACACTGAAACCGATTGCAGCCCAGGACAAAATGTCTCTTACTTCTGATGTGCTTGTCTGAAGAACAATCTCACTGAGTGAAATGGCTTCCACATCCAAGCTTTCTCCGAATGATTGGGCAGCTATACTGCTATGACTGGGAATGAAATGAACTTGAGTCAATAGACATGTCTGTATACATTTATTACGTGTGAAAAGAGTGAGAGTGCATCAGCATGTGATAGAATCAACCAAAAGTATTATTAGTAGTAGTTGACTAATCTTCGGTCAAATTCATCCAAATCTTTTTAACCATCACATACCTCAGAGCTGGAGTGTTTGAGGGCCGAGAGCTTACAGGCGAGGTTGCTGACAGGGTCGTATCAGCTGAGCTACTTGTGATCTCATCTTCATTAAGCTGTTGTGGGAGCAGGTCAGGACGAGTAGTCTGCACACCTGAGGAGAGAAAAAGAGAGAAAAAAGCCAATAATGATTTAATAGGGTTGATGGGGAAAGGGAAAGATTGAACTACAAAACTGCTTTTCACTATCAATAACTCAATCTAGGCCTCTAAAATGTCAGATGATTCAAATGCATAAACCTCATTGAGAACTGAAGGCTGTATTGATTCCTGAAGTATGAGAACAATGCTGACATTGTCCATGCATGTGCTGTAGGGGGCAAACATTTACAGCTCTCATTTGCTCTGCTATTAGCACAAAAGGGCATCTGACTATTAAACTACACAAAGTTATCATGCAATCTCTGCTAGTCTTGAAAACAAACAAAGCATACTCTCAATGTATGTATTCCGTACTCTCAAGGACAAGTCATACAGTTGAGACCCTCAAGTAGCTTGAATGCAAAAACCTAAGCTTTGCACAGAGGAAATGGTCATTAAAACAATCTCTTCTGAATGACAACAGATCAGAGTTTATACATCTATCAAAATAACAAAGAATTACAGATGTACAATATATCAGTGTCACATTATTTAGGCCAATATTGGAGATGTTCTTCTAATATATCAATATCGGTTGATATTAAAATTTGCAATGAAATGGAAAGGACCTTTTATTCCATATTTGGACTTACCTGAGTGTAACATAAAAAAAAATTAAAATAGGGTAAGGACTTCGTCCTATTCATAGGTTGTTGACTGGATTTTGGGATGTGACCGTTGCATCAAAAGTGAAGGCAGATGAATGTGAGCTTGCAGTGGCATATTATTTATGATATTTTGATAAAAGATTATAAGGTCAAAAAGTAAAAAAATACTAAACATATGCATAGATGAATTGTTCAATGTGAATTTTCACGCCATTTTTAAATATTTAACTCTGCATGCTTAAAAATCTATGTTTAAAAACTCTCAAATGTAATCTTCAGCCAATATATATATATATTAAGATTTGCTGAATTAAAAAATGAATTACAAAATGTGTGTATATATATATATATATATATACACACTTTGTACATTAATGTTGTGATAACTAAACTCACTTGGATAATTTAAAATGATCCAGTTTTCAGTGTTTGAGTTTTTAATGTTTTATTTTGAATCTACTCAGAAAACAGAATAGAATTTTAGTATTTACATCCCAACACTGAACCACCAAGGAAACACAACAAAGAAGATTTCCTTGAGCAATCTCAACCAGTGTAGCAACATGGCTAATGATTTACATTTAAGACATTTAGAAGATATTCTTATCACGAGAGAATGATACTGGAATTTCCCCCGATCTCTGAATGTCTTCTCATACCTCTGTCTCCTTGAGTGTCTGGGCTGAGGGACACAGCTCCACTGCTGGACAGCTGCGCTGTAGTCTGTTGTGGCTGTGTTTGTTCTGCTGCTACAGGAAAGGATTGTTGTGATTGTCCAGATACTGCAATGTTTGTCTTCTTCCCACAAGACACAGTTCCTCCTCGACTTTTCTTTGAGGGTGACATTTTCACTAACAGAAGAATTGAAATAAACTTTAATGCATTAGCCCTTTAATGCATCCATTACAGATGTTTCAATGTGACTATCAAACTTACAAGGAGGTTTTTTGAAGACTGTACTGCACATAAATTTCTGGAAACGATCTGCGTAAAAACTCGGCCGATGAACAGATACAGTGTCCTGTAGAGGAAAACATCAAAAGAACAAAATAAATACACAAAATGCATTTGTAAAGTTAGTCTTC